AGATCCACCACGTAGGCCATCCTGCCCGGCAGGAACAGCTCGTTCCGCTCATAGGTCTTGTTCTTGAACAGGATGCGGTAAATGTTGCGGCCTGGCCAGACGGAAAAGTGTGGGAAAGCAGAGGATGAGCCCTAATGTCACAGACATCTTTTCATGAAAATCCTTTCATAAGGATTTATTCCTGCTGAGAAGCTGAGAGGCCTCAGGAACAAAATGTAAACACTGATTATCTGCTGCTGTGGAATGCCACAGGTGCATCTGTGATCGGCCCATCCTGGATGTTTTTAACGGTGGCCAATCACAGCTCAGCTAGCCCAGCTCTCTGTCCAAGCCACAAACCTTTGTTATTCATTCCTTTCTATTCTTAGCTTAGCAAGCCTTCTGAGAACCTTTCCTTCTATTCTTTTCATATGGTTTAAATGTAATATAGATCATAAAATAATAAATCAAGCCTTCTGAAATATGGAGTTAAACCCTCTTCTCTTCCCTCATCCAAAGACCCCTGTGACCACCGTCACACCCAAAGTGAACCATCTTTAGTTTATCAGCACATCCTAAGTACACACTCTCTTCAGTTCTCAAATTCAGGGATATCCCCCTCCAATGGTTTTCATTCTTACATTCACCCTCCAGGATTTCTCCTGCATTCACAGCACAGACAAGGTGGGGAACAGCCACATCAACACAGTCTTACCCAGACGGGTCTTAAATTCAATTTTGTTCTCAGGATCTTCATCTTTCCTAAAGGGAAACAGAAACCAGAAGTATTAGAGCCAAGTGAATGGCTCCTCTGCATCCTCCTCTCTTGCAAGCAGCTGCACTCAGGAATGCCAAATGCTCAATCACTCACTTCGTTTCTTTCTGGGGCTTCTCCATCATTTCCTCCTCTTCCTTCTCCTTGCTAGCAATCTCAGCTCGCACCTGGATGCAGAGCAAATCCACACATCACAGCCCAACCCATGCCACTGCTGCCCATCTGTGAGCCCCAACAGATCCCCAGCACTGCAGCAACCCTTCCCAGGAAGGGAAATCCACGCTGCCAGGACCAAGCAGTAACACACAGCGTGTGTGTGTGAGAGCCAGGACAGGCCAAGAGCAGCACTGTGATATCTGCACTCACCTTCTGCAACAGAGCAAAGTCCAGACCCTTCACCAAGTGAGTGTGCTCCATGTCACCACCCAAGAACTTGGACTCCTGGATCAACTGTCTCCTCTTCTCTGCAGCAGATTTATCCCTGTGCAGTGGGAGCAGAGGCAGGTGAGGGCCAGGCCTCCAGCCCAGCCTGGCCAGCCCAGCCCCCAGCACAGCCCACGTACGCCTCGGCCGTGGGCCCCACAGCCCTGTAGTTGGCCGTGGTGCTGATCAGCTCTGTCTCCTCGTAGTCCTTGTTCACTCCATCCCTCCTCTCCTTGGCTCGGTCCCGGTACTTCTCGGCCAGCTCCCTCTCGCGCTCGATCTCCTGCTGCCGCAGCTTGGCGTAGTAACTGTGGGTGGGACACAGCTCAGGGTTAACAGTGACCTGCTCGTGTCTCTGGGGTCAGCTCAGGGTTAACAGTGACCTGCTCACATCTTTGGGATCAGCTCGGGGTTAACAGTGACCTGCTCGTGTCTCTGGGGTCACCTAACAGCCCCTGAGGCCTCACACACACCCACTCTGCTCCCAGTCCCTCCCCAGAAATGCACCACACCACCATGGGACACAGGCCTGGAGGAAGCTGCTGAACTGAGGAGCTCCATCCTCCCATCCCAAGGGAAGGGCTCCAGTGCAGTCCTGCTGTGCAGACATGTCCCAAAGCACACAGGGATCACTGCAAGGTCCCACCACTGCCCTGCTCTCCCAGACACCCACAGGGCCTCTCCTGCTTCCTCTGCAGGTGAAGCTTCAGCCCCATCTTACTGCTGCCCTCCCACAAGCAGTGGCAGCTCCTCAGCCTGAGCTCTTCTCCAAAGCTCTTGAATAATTCACTCAAGGCCCTCTTTGGGAGCACAAGAGACCAGAACTGCTTCCAGTTCTGGACATGATGTATAATGACAAGTCCTCCTGCATCTCTTTCCCCACTCACCTTTTCTTCTTCCTCCTGCGAGCAGCTGGATCTTCATCCTCATTGTACTCCCGGGGCATCCTGGAAAAGGGTGAAAAAACACATGTACAGTCTGAGAGCCACATGGGTGACAGGTGGACAGAACAGTCCCTCAGACACAGCAGGGCACTGAGGTGCTCAGAGATGGAATAGAACAGGCTCTCACCCTTAATTTCCCCCTAATCCTGCACTGTCAGTGGGGAAAGGAAGGAAAAAGACTGATTTTCACCAAGTCTGAAAATCTGAACCAAATCTGAAAATTTGAACCAAATCTGCCTCCTGCACAAAGTGTCTTAACAACCACGAAGCCTCACTCTTTTCTTTACAGCAGCCCTGACCCACCTGCTCCCCCCCTCCCCACACTCACTGGCAAAAGCCCCTGTCGATATTTCCCTGCAGAGTGCAGGGGAGAGGGTCAGCTGGGCCCAGAGTCTCAGAGGGAAAGGGGGCACGGATTGTCCCATGGAGCTGTGAAACAGAGCCCTACTCACTCATGGTGGCGAGATTTGGAGGGTGGCGCAGATGTTGGCGCAGCCCGCGGGGTCATGAGAAGCTTCCTGAAGTCTTCATTGGTCAGCTTGGACCTGTAAGGCAGGGAAGGAACAGCAACCATCACTCCCACAGAGCTCTGGAGGAGGAGCAGGTCCTGTGTGACCGAGATGGGCACCAGGTACCCATGGAGGGAGCCCAAAGGCAGCAGTGCACCAGTGACTTCCATGGGAACTGGCCTCCAGTCCCAGCCCAGGGCTGTACTCACTGGTGGAAGGAATGCGAGTCGTCCACATCGTGGCCCTCGGGGGCCAGGGGGTTGGAGAACGGCTCATCTGGGGGACAGAGAGAGAGAGAGAG